CTGTTGCTCCTATTACACACGGAAATCCTCCAATTTAGAAAAATTTTTTGGTATTTTTTGCAATGTAGCACAACAGCCTTTAATCCCAGTTTTTCCAGAGAGTCCCCAATTAATTTTTGTAATGCTCCTGTTGCATAAGATCTCAGACAAATGAGGAGTTGTTTTCTACTGTTAACAGCCCTGTTACGATTTGTTAAGGGATTTAAGTGATCTCCAATTCGATTAAAAATTTCCGTTACGCTATTTTTTTAAAACACATACCTTTGCTTCAATATCATCGTATCTATCAAAAGGATCGGGTGCGTCTCGAAAAATTCGGGGTCTTCCAAGGACACGACCATCGGAATGGGCGACGTTAACATTAAAGATACGGACACTTTGCAGTAAACTACAATTTGCAGGTGTTGCAAAAAAAATCCATGTGTATTTAAAGTTACCCAAATAACATTTAACTGAATTTCTTTTTTGTATTTATTTTCGTTTTTTATTAGTCGAATTCCTGTACAACTGGCAGCTGTCAAACTTTATTTATTGCTTTACTGATAATAATAAACTAATCGTCAGTCAAAATACGTTTTGATGCTATTCATGCCCTTGATTAACGTTTGTGCAACGGATTATTGGTAATTTCCGTATTATAATGAAACTACTACTTTAATAGGCGAACGGGGAATTGGAAGGTCTCACGATTCCATTTGAAATTAAATCATTAAATAATTCACGGACATCACCCTTTTCTTTTTCGGAAAGTCGGTACGGTCTGCTGACTATTGGTTTACTATCAGTCAAGGTCAATTTCATTTCAATATTAGGCATAGTTTTTAAATCACTCGGACTATCTGAAAAGCAATCTCCAAATTTTGAAATTAAGTTCGAAGTTTGGGCGGTAACGGGCTTCCCAGTGATGCCCACCGAGATAACGTTGACGCCTGTTGATGGCAACATTGGAGAGTTAGCATAGTTTCATTCTGCGTAAAATCTTGTCCAATAATAATTAGGTCGACATCACGAAGACAAAAATCGACAACATAGATATCGAGTTCCATAGAGATGTTCTCGACCTCAATCCGACCCTGTAATTTTGATCTTGTGATTATTTCACCGCCACCGAAAGCATTTAATGTCACCTGATCCGTGAGCGGAATCGTCTGCAAACTCCGCTTACGTACCAGGTTATCAGTAATAACTGACACCTCGCTACCTAGATTAATAAACGGTGGCAATTGGAATTGTCCGTTTAATGTGTATAGATCTCTATACACTCCCTATAATTTCAATTTTTTCCAAGTACCGACCTTTGCTTTCCAAAGAAAGCGATTAAGCATAGTCACTCAAATTTATATCTTATAACAATAAATCAATATTCAATTTTATTTAATTCACGGTTTTTATCAATCGTGTCTGATCTGAATGTGTTGTGGAATTTGAATAATGTTTATATGTGATTGTAGTTATTTCTTTGCAATGTTCGATTGTGCAACACATTGTTGTTGCTTTTTGGCATGCAATATTGTCTTTATTATACTTGACTATAAGATTCTTTCTATATCACGATGCGCGGCTCTGGCATCAGCTGCTCGCATTTGGATCTGACTGAATAGCATCGAAACTAATTTGCTTTTGTGAGAAAAAAATAAAAATGGACATCACGCAGCAAAGATTCTACGCATTCGGTAGCGCTTTTGCATGGGAGCTTTCAAGCATGTGCTGTTTTGTTGGTCAGACCAGGAACATGATGTTCTGCAGATCTTCGCTGAGTTGAGTTGTGGATAACTAAGTATACCTCATCCATGTTAATCTTTCATTATCCACTCTTCCATAGGTTGCACAGTCTCCATTTTGCTGCCTGATGTATTGACATTGTGAATTTGGAAAAAAATGTACATCATTTCCATGTATTCTATCGTTGCAATAGAAGTTATGAAATGGTAATTCCAAACACTGTACGACTACATAAGTATTTGTTCCGAACATTTTTTTACAACGTGACAGTAATCAAAGCTCAGAAACGGGGATGTTGGGTTCTGTAGGATGGTCTATATGTGTTGTCAGATTTCCATTTCTAAGCATCGTGAAGAGAGCACCGTTTAATTGAAACGACGACAATACGAATAGTAACGAAACCACATTCATGCAACAGTCATAGAACGTAGAGTGTGAGTTTGTACATATCACGAATTGTTATCTGCTTATGGAAGTAGTGTGCTACTGGTATTGTTTATTTCATACTTAATCCGCGTAGTACAAAATACAACATCTTATTTACTATTGCTCCCTTGGCAATTGGAGTTTCTTCTTGTCTTTTAACCCATAAAGCTTATCTTCTGCTCTGTTGTAATTTAATTTTGGCTTAAGTGCTTGTCTTCAATTAAAATCTTGCACACCTTACCAGTCGGTGATAAAATTTGCGGTTATCTAGAAGTCTATTTTTAATGATGATGCCGCACATCCTTTTGAACCAAGTCGAAAAACACCCGAACTCCATTTAAGATGGCAGTGGATAGAGAACTGCAGCTGCTAGGCAGAACTCGTGGACTTGTTCACCCAGTGCAAATCTTCTTTTAAGGAAAATATCCGTGAGGTATCCAACGAAGTGTTCAGCTCTGCGCCCATAGCGGGACAGTCCTCTTCTCACGTCTCTCCAGGTCCGCTCGATGTTCTGAGTGTGAACTTTTGAATCCGTCGGGTTTACAAAGTTGATGGATTGGTTGACACTCAAGTGCTGAAAGCCCTCTTCCTTCAGCGTGTTATACACCCTCCAGCGGTCAGATACAACAACAGTACCAGGATGTATCCACACACGAATAACCCCCAGTAATGTTGGCAAAAATCCACTGGCCTTCAATTCGGCGTCCGCGATTATATTTGTGTCTCTCAAATTTAGCATCATTTATTTCCATTATAACGCCAGGACGTTTGATCTTCATGGAGTTTGACAGGGCCCAGTTGACACACACTTCCCTGAAAAAGAACGACCAATCTACAAGCGTTGTCGAGCTCCAACCCAGTCCTAACTGTGTCAATTCCTGCCTGGGGAACCCAGTAATACACCACATACCTATAAAATAGGTGATATCCTCCAGAGGTAGGTGGCTTTGCTCGAAAAGGATGTCCACACGATAACTTCTCTTAAAGCTGCACTTCGACTTCTTCTGTGCAGAACCGTCAGTGTACTGCACTAGGGCACATGTGTGGAAGTAGCTATTGATATTGAGCTCAACTTCTACTCCACACGTTGGACAGTTGCGGAACCCCGTTGTTGTGCGAAACGAGAAGATCCACAACCCGCCTCTGATCCTCACAACTCACCGCCAGTTGTCGTAGCGAATTCGAACAACCGTCACACGCCATTTTCAACAATTAATAAAATTGATATATCTCATTAAGAAGCCTTGGCGGCTTCCGCAGAAACAAATGGCGGGTTATGTCTTTGATGTAATTTTTATTGTTATAAAAAATATATATAAAATTGTGGAAGCAATCCGACTAATAAGTTTATGGTATACTACAACACTGCCAGGATGTATTCACTCATGGATAACTCCCAGTAATGTTGGTGCGTCCGGATTGAGTACAGGCACTACGAAAACGTTCTTGGTTGTGCGGTCGAAACCGCCAAAAATCCAATCGCAGACGCCGAATTGAAGATTCGGCGTCTGCGATTATATTTATGTTTTCCTGGAGTTTGACAGGGCCCAGTTAACACACGCTTCCCTGCAGAAGGACGACCGACCAATCTACAACCGTTGTCGAGATCCAGTCCAGTTTTAACACATTCGTTGCCACCTTTTAGGAACAATCAGCCCCAAGGGGCAGATCAGTTTTTGAACTAATTTTCAAAATTTTGTAGAAATATGTAAACATATGAACAAGTAATTGTACTGAACAAAAAAAAACAAGCTTTAGAAATTTTGGAAAAATAACTCGGCCGAGCATTACTGACACTGGGAATGAAAACTGCATACCCCATGTCGCCTAACGCGCAGGAGCGTGTTATTTTAGAAATTAGTTTGCTTCAACATTTCATATGAATAATGAAAGAAACAAAAATTAACAAAAACATATCCAGTATCTTATATTGCAAAAAGGAAACTCTAAAAGCAACTTCAAATAATCAAAAATTCGAAACATAAATAGAAAAAGGGGTCTATTCTGTAACCGTCCCGTTAAAATTTAGAGGCCTTTAAAATTTTAGCGGCCCTTAAAATTGATTTGGTATTCACCAACTTCAAAACCTGTTAAAATTTAACAGATTCCTTTAAAATCGCCCTCTAAAATGAAAAATTTTAGAGGGGTCGGAACAATCACCTTTAAATTTTAGCGGCCATAAGTTTTTGACGTTTAGCGTATTCGAAATTTTTATATTTAGTAAAAAACACCTTTAAAACGCTCATAAAATGGCTTTTTTCGATATTGCCGGAGAAATATTGGTGGATGAATTTATTGAAGATGAGGAAAGGTAAATAATTATATTTTTGCATAAATATCTACATTATTATACTCCTATTTGGTTTCAAAATTCTACAGAGCTGAATTTAGGCTTCATCAGAGATTAATTAGAGATATGAATAATCCATTCCAACTTCCTAACAAAACATTCAAAACAATCTTCCGATTTAATAAAGATGTCACAAGAGTAATAATTGATATGATTAGACCTTATCTACAGCAAGGACCAAGAATTACAGCTGTACCACTAGAATTGAAGTTCCTTGCAAGCCTCCACTTTTATGCTACTGGCGGGTATCAACTAACTAGTGCCCATGATTATAATTTTGCAATAAGCCAACCTACAATGAGTCGCTGCTTGGATCAAGTGACAAATGTGATTTACGACCATTTACTAACTAATTGGATAAAATTTCCCCAAACTCAAAATGCAAAGAATAAAGTTGTAGAAGGGTTCATGGACAAATTTAACATGCCAAGATGTTTGGGTGTTATTGATTGCACCCATATTGCAATTATATCACCACCAGAAAATTATCCAGCCATACTTCTGTAGGAAAGGATATTATAGTATAAATTGCCAAATAATTGTGGACAGCGATTATAATATATTAAACATGAACGCTCGCTTCCCTGGTTCTACTCACGATTCAGCTATATGGCAAGCTTCACATGTCAAAGCTATTATGGAAAATCAGTATATTCAAGGCTCTAATTTATTTATAATTGGAGACTCTGGATACCCTTTACAGCCCTTTCTATTAACTCCATTTGAAAATGCTCCAGAAAACACACCTGAAAGTAATTATAATCACCACCTTGTAAGAACTAGAAATATTATTGAAAAATTGAATGGAGTACTAAAATCAAGGTTTCGGTGCTTACTTAAACATCGTGTATTGAATTATGATCCCATAAAAGCTGGTAAAATTATTTATAGCTGCGGAGTGCTACACAACATAGCACGCTTTTACAAAGATGAACTGCCTGATGAAGAAATCTTCGAAGAAGTTGATCAACACAACGACGATAACAATATTCCAGTCAACATTGTACATCAAGGGAATTGGCATATGAGAGGAGAAGTAGTACGAAACGAAATTGTTCATTATTTTAACAATAATAACTAGTTCATTTCTCCCTCGATTCTCTTTCCATGTGAATATACACTGTTGTAAGATGATCACAGAAAAGTTATAATCCTTGGAACCTTAGATATACGTACATAGCATCAATAGCTCAGTAATTCACAGGTCTTGAAAACAAAACGTGGAACAATCAGTTTTATTATTCGTTTAACACATACTCAAGCCTCATCTTACAAATAATCCTGTCCCATGTTGAATTGAAAGATAACTTTGTAGTTTTATTGGATAGTCAGTATTACTACGGCTTAATTTCCTTATCTTCTGTTAATACTTTTCAATGAAATAATCAAATTTAATGTCGGTTTCAACAAACACACAATTTACCACTGGAAACTGGAGGCGCCTGCGCCCAGCCCAGACCTACGCCTGTCCCATATGTTTAAAAACAGACAAGATAATTTCTGCACGCAAGCTTACTGTCCAAAAGTAATTCTACGCAGTCGCAAATTTGAAAATAAGACATTTTTCAAATTTAAAATAAAAATTTATTAAACAAAACATCACATTTTTTTCCCAACGTTGTTAATAGCCCTAGCTAAGTTATTTAATGCTCTTGCAATTGCAAAATTTGACTTAGCTAGAGTCACTAAATGCCTATCGTGGGCCTCGAGAGCAGTATGTGCTCGCGCTTTCGATCTTTTTCGTTTTCTGGAGGCTGTCGGCGTCTTAGGCTCAGGTGTCGTCTCAGGTTCCTAAGAAAACATTGTATGAATGATTAACATAATATTTGAGTACAACGTTTATACCGTAGCGATGACCACAGGAATGTCGTCTAAATTAAAGCCCTCCTCTTCTATTGGTGGTGAAGGAGGGTCTAATACCTGAGCAGCTTCGGGGGTAACTTCTTCACAACTACCGTGAGCCTCCACTAAATCAACCCCCTCAATGGTTATTTTAGATATTAACGCCAACAGCCTTTCCTCCAATTCACTCAGGGGCTTCACAGAGGGACCACCCCCCGTACCTGTGAAGCCGTATTTAATCTCCCGAGCCCTGCGTTTCACATTTGTTTTCATCTCACTCACGGTCTAGGTATGATTAAAATGAAAAGTATTAACTAGAATCTTGTGTTTGTAGAAATGCCACTTACATCTTTCCATTGACGAATGGTTTTGGGGGGACCAATCTTATTGAGCTCGTTCGCGAGCGTCTCCCATTGTTTATTAATTTTTGGGAGATGGACTGGATTAATTTTACCCCCGAAAAGAACACTGTTGTCTTCTAGATAGCTGATTATAAAATTTTTCTGGATTTTTGTCGTTCGCGGTGAACGTGACATTTTGAGCGATTTCGAACTAACAAATGGCGCGCAAATAAAAACCCTAAATCACCCCAGGGTAACAATGGGGTGATGCAATGTTGCCAAATATTATGCGTCATATTTTAGAGGATACCTCTAAAGAAATTTATTTTTAACGGACCGCTTCAAAATGTTGTTACAGAATAGTGCATCTGCTAAATATTTTTAGCGGGCATCTAAAATTTTAACTTTTAGAGGACTTTAAAATTTAACAGATGGGTTACAGAATAGACCCCAAAATCTATTATTCGTGTGTAAGGGTTGCACAATCGAGGCAGTTGCCTGGTAAACCTGGAGATTTCTGGCAGACGTGTGTTGTATCCGTGCGCTTATTCTTTTTGTAGCACGTCTTACATGCGTTTCTCTTTATTTTTCCCAGACGAGGTTTTCTCCTCACGCTTGACCAAATAATGTGCATCAAGTTTTGGCTGATTTTCTTGGACTACAGTTTGTGTTGGTAGCATTTTGCGTATTACCGCAATTCTAAAATCGTATAAGTTCATTTTTTTACCCGAGTATTTATTGTAAAGACCGTGATCATTTATTAGCATCATTTGAAGAATATGAATGAAAACTTTAGTTGTCCACCTTATAGTCTTTCGTTCACACGGATAATATGATAATAATTGATCTTGCAATGGTTTCGCCTCGCTTTAATTTTTTTGTTTGACTTCAGTTGGACAGTCTTTTCGGTCTATGCGGACTGTGCCTGTGCAATGAGTGATTTGCTTCAGCAACGTTTTGGCAAGAGCCGGACTATTATGAAAGTTGTCCATGTATAAAGAGTGTCCAACATTTAATTTGCCATCTAAAAGATGCAGAACGACTTTTTCAGTGTGACCTTTTCCGCCGCAATCATCAAATGATCCTGTGTACACCATGAATTCTAAAATAATTCCATTGGGGTCGGTTAGCATGTACAATTTTATTCCGTATTTACGAGCCCTTTCCCAACTCAGTTAGCCCAAAGCGGAATTTAAAAAAAAAATCGATTTTAGTGAAGAAAAATACAAGTATTGCGTCAAGTTAACATTTTTTAATCCATGTAACAGCCCTTTTAAAACCTCTTAGTCATAAGAAATATCTGTTAAAACACCTTTAACTGATAACAAGAACAAAATAACAACAAATAAGCAAACTGCAAAAAATACCAACATCGGTACAAAAACAAATTCAAAGTTTACCACTGGGTAACATCGCCTTTTTTCTTTATAACATCCAAAATTCTTCGAGGCATAGTTTTAACTAAGCCTTGACAAAATTCTAGTGTAAAACAATCCCATATTTCTTGAAGCCTTTGCTTCAATTCTGGAATTGTTCCGACAGGATGTCTCCAAAGCAACTTTTTCATCTCGTGCCACAAAGTTTCGATTGGGGATAAGTCAGGACTGTTAGCAACCAACCCTAACAAAGGTATATCATAGTCTTTCATCCATTTCGTACTTTTTTTGAGGTATAGCATGCTGCACCATCCTGCTGGAAAACAAAATCTTGCCCAGATATCAAGTGTGCCTCCATTACCGGTAAAAGAGATTCTTCTAAAATATTTTTTCATCATTAGCATTTTCGATTGCACCATCTCATTCCCAATAGTGGTTCTTAGTATTCACGACTTGGTTTATGTCATTGAGTTATTTTCGGCATTCATTTTGCCCGTGGTAGTTTCCCGTGGTCGTGCGTGCCCGAAAAACTAAGGCTGCTCTCTGAACAAAACCTTCTACAGACCCCCCATGAACCACAACAAGACGACCTAGGAATATATTACGTTCTTTACATATTTATAATTGTTAATTGAAGAGAATTTAGATTTTACTTAAATATTTTTATTTCTACTACTGATGAAAAGTCCAATTTTTGCAACGGATTTATAGCTATTAACATACCTAGTTTCGTAAGCAGGCTTGAATTTCAAACTGACATCTATGGATGTTACGACTTTGATTACATCCTAGTTATGATAATTGTCAAAGTTGTATAATGATAAGTCCAGCGAACTTGTAGGATAGAAGTGTATTGATAGTAATAAGTGTATATACAAAAAAGAATAAGAATATTTGACCTCACAGTCTAGAAGTGTGTGAGTCAGTGCCTATTTCCCTTTTTTCTACCTGGTGGTTCTCACCACCCTTATTTCAAAGTGGAGGGGACGGAACAGATGTCCCCGCCAGGAGCGCTAACTTAACCCCCCGCCTTGAAACAATTACATTGTTTTAAGATAAAAAAATATAAATAAATGCGTTACAGTTTACACTAAAGAAGAATGTACAATATATGTATACACGAAAGGTAAAAAAAAAAGCAAGAAATATTGATATGTAAGGAATTTCTCTCATAAAGGGACCATGAGTCACATGGAAGGAATTCGATCAGCACTGGACGCAGTTTTGAATAAACAATGTCATGGTACTCCACTGTGGATATGGGCCATGAGGGGAGCATTCGAGTCTCAGCATTCGTCAAGTATAGTGCTGTCCGACTTAATTTGAATAAAGTTTTTGTTTTTGAAAGTATCGTGTCTTATAGATATGAAACCGTAAAACTAGTTAGAGTTCGAAAGATCACCACCACAATCTTTAAGTTTAGCGCAATTAGTCCATTGGTAAAGCGCACACTTTCGAAATTGCTCTTTTTATCAAGCCACTTTTGCACTTCACCGACACTACCCGCACGTTCCCATCATTGCCGGGGTGTAATTGAGTAATTCTACCCAACTGCCACTGCAACGGTGGTAAATTGTCTTCTGCTAGCACTATTAAGGTGCCAACTTCCGGAATCCTTGCAGATGTGTTTCGCCACTTGCTTCGATTTTGCAACGTGGTCAGGTATTCCGTAGACCACCGTTTCCAAAAATGTTGGCGACAAGCCTCGATCAATTGCCAGCGAGACAATCGGTTGATGGGAATGGCGGTGTGGTCCCTCTCCATGGGGGCGGTTAAAAGATGCCCGATTAAAAAATGGCCGGGCGTAAGAGGCGTCATATCGTTAACATCGTTCGACAGTGACGTCACTGGACGCGAATTCAAGACGGCCTCAATTCTTACTAACAAGGTGTGCATTTCCTCGTATGTAAGATGATTTTCACCGATAACGCGTTTAATATGGGTTTTAAAGGATTTGATTCATGAAGTGTTTCAACAATAAAATTAAAATTTGCGTGATATTTGCATACGCACACATTATGAGGCGTTTCAGAAGACAATAACACATGTTGAGGTCTCATGCTGTAGAACTTACTTATATGTATCTTGCAATCTGGATATTCGTCTTTATATAAAACAAATGCTTCTTTTACTGCCATTACCATATGACGTTTTTAAAAGACTTCTCTTTTACCGGAAGATAGGTTTTTAACACTTTTCGTGTCTCCTTTTCCGGGCGCCTGTCTGCTGATATCATCACGAAGATAAAAGTCGACGATTTTTTTACTTTCTTCACAGCTTTTCCCAATGATTGAGGACACTTATATGGAAATACTGCTTCTTTTTTTTGTTTTGCTGTTTCTTTTAGTTTTAATCTGTAGATTCTTTTACGTTCTGCTGCTTTTTGTTTTTTAATTTTATGTAGAGTAGGATTTTTCACAAGAAAACTTCTTTCAACAACCCTTTCTGCGCGTTTTCTTTGGGCATCTTTTTCGCGGTACCACTTTGCTTTTACAGGATCCGCGTTAATACTCTGCCGGTAGCGACGCATTGCTTGCCGTACTTTTTCTTTATGTACTACCTCGACACTCATACCTAGAATAACATTAAATGAAGAAGCGTCATGATAAAATAATAGTTAAGGAAAAATGTTTTTAAAGATCAGAATTATGATAATGGACGGGACAGATTTAAAAAAATCAAATTATTTACTTGTTATTTAATTTTTAAGTGATTAAAACTTTGAGAAGAACTTGTACTTAAATAGAGAAAAGCATTAACAAATTGATTTAAAAGTCGGAGTTTTACTCAAGTTCTCAACTTATCCGCGTTTTTGATAACGGATGGGACATCTATGCATTGAAAGTCTAAAA